AAGGCGGCAGCGGCGGCGGCAACGATTGTGACGCACCCTCGCCGGCATCCGGCTCGCAGGGCGGCGTCCGCACCGAGCGGCGGGATGGTGGGGCAGCAGTGGGAGCGTGGAGCAGTCGCTTGTCGTTGTTATTGCTGAGGACGACTTCTCCTTTCTCCTCTCCGTACGGGTTGAACACGGGAGGGGCGAGCACGCGACGCCCCTTCCACTGCGCAGACATAGGTGCTGGTCCCGCGCTTCTTGTTTTTTTTTTGTTTCGTTTTTCTTGTTCGTGCAGGCATGTTGTGCGGATGAAAAAGAAAAGGAAATGGGATAACAGGGAGGAGAAGTAGTGCACGCAGAGTGGCACTGCTGAGACAAAGGCTTTGAGAGTGCGAATATCCAAGCCCACGGAGAGCCTAACGAGGGAGACGCAAACCTGCAGAACCCAAAGAAGACAGTCTGGAGGGAAAGCGAAACGAAAACCAAAAAAGATAAAAAAATAAAGATCATTGAACGAATGTGATTATAACGGCTGTACCAGTCCAGCGACTGAATGAGCCTGTGTCAGTGCACTAACTCGAGAGCACGCCGCAGCACCCTTTGCCGCAATGTAAACAAGGCACTGTCGCAGTCCACCTCCACGTCACCCAGCACGTTAAGAACCGCCTCTGCATCTTCGGCATCACTGTGTTGGGTGGCAGCAGCAGTAAACGAAATGGATATGCGGTCTTCGTCGCGGCAGCAGGTGAGGAGAGGGGAACGACGTCCCAGACGCGCCATCTCCGCCGCGCACGCCCACAAAAGCATCTCCCACAGCTCACGCGGTTCAGCGTGTTCAACAACGTAATCGCTGCCGTCATACACATGCTCTTTCGAATTGGTGACTGTGGGAAAAATAATTCGGCGCAGCAGGAGCTGCGGGAGCTCAGGCACATAGGCAAATAGAACTGGGGAACTCGTGAAAACCACTCGCAGTATTCGTCCCACATGAGATGGGATCAGAGCAGAGGGTTGAAGCAACAGAAGCTGCTGATGGCAGTCGATGAGGAAAGACACAGCGGATTGGCTCACCGGCGATGCACCCTTTCCACTTTGTGAAGTGGAAGCAGCAACAGCATGCTGGTAAATTGTCCAAAGAGCTGTGAAGGGCTCCTCCACAGCATCACCATCCCTCACCGCATCTCTCTGCATGAACACGGGGGTGAAGAGTTCCACATACGCAGCAACGGTGTCGCCAGCATCACGGCAGCCGAGCACACAGCAGCACCCGCCGCGAGCACCCACTGCAGTGCCGCCGCTGCTCCACACAAGTGCCTGCTGACACGCCTCGCATACGTGCAGAAATGCCCCCGCAGAGACACCGAGGCGCACGTCCGTCTCGCCGTCCGCCGCCTCGCACTCACCACTGACGTGGGGGAAGAAGCGCTGCATACCACTCCGAACGGGCAGTAGAAGGCGCCCCAGGCGGTTCAGCAGCTGTGGATGGTCAGCGAAAAGGTCACAGCCACAAGCAGCAGCAGCGCACTGCGGTAGCCGGTTGGCCGCTGCGGCAATATGCAGCAGTCCACAGACAAGATCCGGGTCTATTTCATCTGGTACCCCCGTAAGCTTGTGAAAAATGTGCGCGAGGCAATTGCTCCGCATCTCACGCACAGCACGTGCAACAGAAGCCTCAGCCACGAGGTCCTTTGCGTTCGCCCCCCTTCTTGTTGCCGACAGTGACAAGGACCCGGTATAGGAGGCGCAGACAAGTGTCTCCAGTAGCTCCAGCAGAGGCCGCGTCGCAGGCGGTGCGGCATCGAGGCACCGTGACAACCCAACACGCGCAGCATCCCACAACATGTGCGGCGCTTCCCGCCATGCCTGCAGTGCCTTGATGAGAGTCGTGTAAAAACGGAGCGGCAGCACAGAGGAGCCATCCGCACTGTAGCTGCGTAGGAAGCACGAAGCGCCAAGAAACAACATAGAGCGCACCTCCGTGTCGTTACGCAAATTGGCAAACGATGCACCATCCTCGTGCATAACGGATAGCGTGCACAGCAGCTGAGCCGCATCGCAGCATTTGCACCATTCCTTAACTGTCATGAAGCAGAAACAGTTGGTGTTGCCAACACTGCTGCTGGCGCCTGGCATAATCGACGACGGTGTCTTTTTCGACGTCGCTGCTGTTGTCACCACAGCACGCAGAAGATGCCGCAACACATCGAGTCCTCTTCGCACAACAACAACAGCAGCAGCAGCTGTCCTTTCTTCTTCACCGTTGGTAACGGATATGCTCTCCGCAAATACAGAGCGGTGGTAAAACGCGAAGCACACCGCCAAAATATGCAGCACATCCACGTAGCTGGCTAGTAGCTGCATCTGCTCCTTCGCCGCATCATCATTATCACCATCATAACCATAGACACACTTCAACCGTTTCGCATCAACGGCGAGGCACTCTGCGAGCTGCAACAAGATCTCCATCCACCGCTCGCTCGGCTCAGTCCAGTGCTTCCACTCGCACGCCCTGCGTGTGAGGAGGCCAAGCAGCAGTGGTCGAACTCCCGCCATCACGTCACGCACAACACGAGCCCGCAAGCGCTCCTTACCCCGCTGTTGGTCCTGTTGTTGTTGTTGGAATGCCGTGCAGGTAGTCAAAGCCCCAGCGAGCACAACGTCACAAAAAAATCGGTGAAATGCGCTCAAGCAACTGCCGTATAAGCAAAGGCACTCTCCTGCCAGTCGACCCAATTCCCGTCGCTGCTCTACAGCAGCACTATCGAACGTGCTTGGCACCGTTACGCAATGCCACTCTTCTTCGGCGCCCTGCACCTCCGGCCGAAGCGCAGCCGCGAGGAGTTGCAGACGACTCGCCTTCGCAGATAGCGTCGAGTGGTGGACAAAACTTGCCACATCCGACAGCAGCTGCAGCCGCCTCTGCAAACCATCACAAAAACCATCAGAGGGCACAACTTGCATCCTGTCGTAGGTGTGGTTGATATCATTACCTCTTGATGGAAGGGCGTCCTGGAGTACAGCACGCATAACTGCTGCATCGCGCCTCCGCAGTCCTATGCAGAGCGCGCAGAACAAGGTTTCTTCCATCGGCCCCCATTGGCTGAGCGCGACGCCGCGGCAGCCACTGCGCGGCACGCGGGAGTACCCACACCGCACCAAAGCGAGGACGCAAGGTAGTGGGAGAAGGACGCCGTTGCCCTCCACGCGGTCTACGAGGTGCGCCGCAACGCCGCTGTCGGCGCACGGGTGCTCTGCGCAGAGGAGCTCTGCCGCCTCTCGCGGCGAAATCGAAGCAGTCGGAAGCCGGTCGCGCAGCGCTGCATAGATGGAGCGCAGTGTTGCCTTCATCGCGCCTGGGCTTCTTCTCTCCCTCCGCCACCGTCGCTAGCCGCAGCCGCAGCACAAACCAAGAAACGAGGCAAATCAAAAACAGAAAAAAAAAGCAGTGACATGGACGATTAAGAGAACCTATTAGGGCAGGTAGAGTGCGACACACAGCAACGGCAACGCCACCACCACCACCACGACAGTGGTGCTCTTCGGAATAAAAGCATTGCATTTACTATTTCATTTTCTTTGCCTGCTCCTTTAAACGCAGCAATTTAACACGAGGCGAGAGAGAACGGTGTGTCTGTGTGGGGAGGGGGAAACGAGGCACAGAAAGATGCAGGTGAACTTAGAGCATCTGTCATAACCACAGCGGTAGCGTGGTGCGTGTGGCACACCAACGCAGCGCCCCCACCCCACCCACTCCCTCATAAAGCTTCTCACCACTCGCGCACTCAGTCCACACAAACGCAAGCACGCAAAGAAACGCGCGGCGCGGCCCTCGCAACATCTACTCCGCGCGCTGCTTCTTCGGCTGACGCTCTGCGACGCCATTCTCATCTTCCTCGGCATCACCATCATCACCGTTGCCGTCCAGCACGTCGTCCTCGATCCTGAGCTCATCAAGCATCTCCTCCAGCCCGATCTGCGGCACCTCCTCTCCATCATCGTCCTCCTCCTCTTCGGCTGCTGTCGCTGCTGCTGTCTCCGCAGTCTTGGCACGACCGCCGCCTTCCACCCCGCGTGGGTCCAGCTCGGACTGCAGCTTCTTGTAGATTGGCACATCGCGGCGGAACTCCGCATCGCGCTCGAGGTCGTCCTCAAACTCGAGTCGCTCCTTCTCCATCTCTTCCTGTTGCTTCGCTGAGCGACCCATAGAGGTGGGGTCCATCACGTCCAGGTGCTTGAGCTTCCACACGCGCTTGTGGCGACGTGCCTTCTGTGCGGGGAAATGCTTCCGCACGAGCACCACCTCCTGCAGCTGTTCCTGCTTGTAGCGGTGGCTGTCCCACTCCTCGTTGTTGAAATTCTTTCCCTCCAGCAAGTATCCCATTGCGAGATCGCCGGGTTGCAGCATACCGCCGAGGTGCGATGTGACAATCCACTCACGCCCGTGGCCCACCTCGGAGGAGAGGCAAACGGTCACCATGCCGAGTTGATAGCGGCCGTTGGTGACGCCAGTCGGGGTGCACTGCAGCACGTAGAACTCCGTCAACTCGCGGGAGTTCATAAGTGACACAAAAGGCTTCTTCCAGTACAGATGTCCAGTGAACTCTCCAGCGCGCAGTGTTTTGGGATCGAGCAGCACAATGCTGCTGTACACCTTGTGCACGAGCACGAGGGGTCCGATGCCGCCCATTTTCAGATAGTAATTTTGGTACGGCAGGAGGAGGAGATCCTCGCGGCACAGGGGAGCAATCTCGATCGAAAACGTGTGGTGCTGCACCGCCGTGTTATTTTTGCTGTCGTGCGACACAAGCTGTACGGCGTCGCGGCGGGTCACAGGGCTATTGCGATTTAAAAACTCCAAAAAGTTCATGGCGTGACTCTTGTGGCCAAAGAAGAAATCAAGGCCCTCGGGTTGTGACTCGATGCGGATAAAGTTTTCTTGCAACTTGTGCTTCAAGATGAGCTGCTCAAGGAAGAGAAATGTCTTTTTGTGCACGGCCTTTTGACGCACCTGCACGCAAGCGTCCCACTGCGGCTGCCCCGTCGCCACCTTCTGGCAGGTTGGGCATTGCTGCCACAACACTACATACTCCACGACGCACGCCTGCTGAATGACGATGTTGCTCATCACCTCCTTCTGCAGCACAAGCTTTACCTTGAGACGCTTTGAGTGTGGCTCCGTCCATATAAAGCCGGCGTCCACCAGCTTAAACACATTGCGGTTCATGCCTTTTATGCGCTTAAGGCAGATGGTGAGCAGCTCGCGGCTCTCGAGGTCAGCGCGGCTCCAGTACTGTGGGGGCTGCAGGTAGCGGGTGCACTCCGGACAGTACACNATGATGTACTCCTTCTGCAGCGACTCTGTGATGTCGATGTGCGAGCGGAGGCAGCTGGGGCACATGTTGCTCGGGTTGCTGTCAATCAGAAGACCACACATGCAGCAGAGGACCTTCGGCACCATCTGCGCATCACGGTCATGGTGAAACTCGCCATCAAGATCCATAGCAACGCACCTGCTCTGATCACCCTACGCTCTCCACGGAAAGAAAAAAAAAACACACGGAAGGGAACGCTAGTTCTTGCCTCACGTGTCCCCTTTTTGTTCCTTCGTCGGCTGTTAGAAGGCTCTTGGTGCTATATCAAGGCGAGAAAGTAAGTCAGGGAAAGCGACAAAACACGCGGAAAAGGGGCTACACAAAGGAACGGCAGCAGCAGCAGCAGCAGCACAAGGAGGGGCAGCAGCAGTAGCAGCAAGAATAGGAGTAAGAACAAATACTGCAGTAGGTAAAGCCACTGAGACAATGGAAAAAGGATGACCGATGGAGTAACATGCACACGGACACACATGCACACACACACACACACACAGACAGAGACACACACCAAACTCCTCTCAACAGCATCATCACCAACTCGTATCATAGCCAAAAACGAAAAGGCAGACGAAAAAGGATCCGATGACGATGTATATGTATGTATGTATGTATATTCTTTGTGTGTGACACGAGGAGGAAGAGGAGGAGGAGGAGGTGTCGTTCGCTCGCATGGTGTCGTCGACTCGCACAAGCCACTTGAGCGCCCAGCAAGAACAGTCACAACTCAGCTTCAAAAAAGAAAGAAACGGAGAGCTCCCAAGACGAGAAAGGTGGAAACAAGACGAAGAGAAGCAACAGGCCTGTCATGTCCTTTTTTTTTCTTTTTGCTTGTCATCATAATAACAAAATACAAAAAAAAACGCTACACCTCCACGCACACATATATATATATATATATATGGGTGTTATGCGTGGGTGTGTAGATTGACAGGGCCCACTCCGCCTCACGTCGTCCTGCGCATTTTCCCCCTCGCCTAATACGAATGTCTTTCCCGCATATGTGTGCTTCTCCGTCAGTTTCTTTTTTGTTTTGTTGTGTTTATTTGTCTTTGCACACCTCCTCTTTTTTTTTCTCCGCTCTCTTTTCATTTTTCCCCTGCGTTTCGAATGATACGCTGAGGTTTTTTGTTTTTGTTTTTGCTCGTGTCTTAGGGAGAGGCAAAGNGGGGGGGGGGGGGAGTACGTCACACGGGAAAGACAATTCCTATAAATAAGCATACGTAGGTAGATCGATATACATATATATATATGCATACATATACGATTGTGTGGGTGTGGGTGTATGTGCACTGTCGGGGGATTCACACCTAAACAGAGAGGCACAGACATGCACACACATACGCACACGCACACTGTCAGAGAAAGGGACCGCACAGCTTAAGAAACAGGAGTGAATACATAAATGGCAACCATCACTTTTTTTTTTTTGCTTTACCGATTGTGTTCTCTGTACGCGTCAGGGGGGAGGGGAGGGGTGCCACGCCTTTCATCACCACCACCATCCCCTGCCGCCGTATGTTACTGTTACTGTTGTCGTTGTTGGCGTGTTGTGATTATTATTCTTCGACTTTCTTCATTGGATTCTTCCACCCACAGCCACATATATACATCAATACGTTCATCCCTCAGCCCGCCCCCCAAAAAAAATTTCGCATGTCTTTCTCCGCTCACTAAAGCCAGCTCACTCGCAATTAATTACCCCGCATCAGCTGAAGTATTGTCCCTCTTCTATTATTTGTCCTCTTT